CACAGATGATAAATAACCTTTTAGTTTATATCACATCCAATAAGAAAGCAACACAGATGATAAATAACCTTTTAGTTTATATCACATCCAATAAGAAAGCAACACAGATGATAAATAACCTTTTAGTTTACATCACATCCAATAAGAAAGCAACACAGATGATAAATAACCTTTTAGTTCACATCACATCCAATAAGAAAGCAACACAGATGATAAATAACCTTTTAGTTCACATCACATCCAGTAAGAAAGCAACACCATTAACAACAAACGTAAACGGATGATAAATAACCTTCTAGTTCACATCGTATTTAACAACACGGTAACACCGTTAGCTACGAGGCTGGAAAAATTATACGTTTTCAGTCTGATTCTGGAACTTAATTTACCTTTTTGTTTCACTCAACTAGAGATTTTTTACAAATGTTCATCTACCTGGTAATATGTACCTAAGATTTTTTGTCTTCAGGTTAAGCATAGCATATACAATTTTCTCTAGAGGTTAAACATTCTGTCTTTGGATAAAAGCCAAGGCTTATAATATTTTATCACCTGATATATATAACTTTTTTTCCAGTTTTTCCTGAATATAATGATGTATAACTATCATGACCCAGACAAGTATAACTTTATTTTCAGTTTGACTCTGAACTCTACATATTTATATATATATTAAGCAGTGGAATGACATTATTTCAAGCACTAGTTTGAAGACAGATGTAGTAATAATCTCTTTATTTTACTTGTTTACAGCACCCTTAGTTCAAAGACTAGTTGGAAGACAGAAATAGTAATATCCTCTTTATTTTATTTGTTTATAACGCCCTTGGTTCAATGACTCTTTTTGAAGACATATTTAGTTATAATGTCGTTATTTTATTTGTTTATAACGCCTTTGGTTCAAGGACTAGTTGGAAGACAAATTTAGTAATAATTAACACCCTTGGTTCAAGGACTTGTTTGAAGACAGATTTAGTAATACTCGAATAACAGAACTTTTTAGTCTTCGATTTGCAAACACTTTCCTTAATCTTTTATATTTGAGAAAATTATAGCTTTATATTCTGGTATTGAAAATTGGACATAGATGTCGCAATATTTCATTAGAATGTTTCTATTAAAATATAAGCTTCTATTTTGTTTTATTAGCTCCAAAGCCATCAGGGCGACGTCCGCGTAAACCGGGAGTAGAACGAAAACCACGCCAGGCCTACAGTGCTAAACAGCTGGAGAGACTAGAGGCGGAGTTTAAGGTTATCTTCTTATTTTCAGATAGTCAATTCAAAAGAAAACTTAATTTTATTATTCTACAACCATATTATCAGAAACGTAAAGTACTGACATAATTTTATTTTAACCACCCAAAAATTTCACAAGCTAAGACATTTGCTTTTAAAATACATTAATTTGTTAGAAGGTTTAAAGTCTTTACCAAGATTTTAATAAATCTCTCCATACTCTTGATAACGTATTTGAGCTAGTTAGAAGTTATTTAGTGACGTTCACAGTAACTTTACTGTGTATTGTACGGTGTATGTTTACAATATTCAGTGACGTCCATAGTAACTTTTATGTGTATTGCACAATTTATTTACAATATTTAATGACGTCCATAGTAATTTTACTGTATATTGTATAGTGTGTTTACAATATTTAGTGACGTCCATAGTAACTTTACTGCATATTATATAGTGAGTGACGTCCATGGTATGTATTTTGTATGATATTTACACGATTAGTTAACTAACTTGTTATATTTATCGATTCAGTTTACTGTGAGATAGTTTAAGAACACTCTCAATTTTGTATAGTTTACTTTCACCTTGAACTTAGTTATAGCAATGACTTTAAAAGAATATTGTTGTTTAGTGATAAATGGTGAGAACAGCTTCTAATGGTCCTTGTTTTTCCTTTCCGTACTAATATTTTCAAATATATTCTATTGATTATTTGTTTCTGTGAGTTTGTATTTTATAAAAATCTTTTACAATAGTCACCGCTGGGTTTCTTCAAAAAACGAAATAATTGCAAGTGATTAAGTACATTCTGATGGGTCTCACCCCTAAAGTTTTCATGACTGTTTCGCTGAACTTTAGAAATTTAATATTCCCTACCAACCATTCATATGCAGAGTTGTGACAAAACTATGTATTACTTCTTTCATAAGTAATCGTTCATAATTGTAATTCTTACCTTGTGTTTCAGTCTTACATTGAACAAGATCATTATTATCTATTTCAAATTTTCTGAATTTACAAAACATTTATTGAATAGTTTTTTCACTCTTCAATCTTTTTAGAGAACTTTCATTTTACCAACAATCTATTGAAGCCTATTAAACAATAGATAAACCTACAAAAATACATATAGCAATTACCCTAAATTTACAGGCATTATAACTGTATTGATACAGATTTTTTATTTCAGATTACATTTCTAAGTACAATGTATTTGTTTTGGTCTATTGTTGTTGATTGTTTGTATTAAAGACGCGTTTTGACAACTGTAATTACCTTGGTGTTTCTAAGCATTTTTTCTTTTGTATAGGTCTATTGTTATTGATTCTTCTATGTATCACAATGAGTTGAAAAGTACTTTTGTGTCTCTGCAGATATTATATTTGTATTGTAAAGTTGCTCTTTCTTTGGCGGATTCTTTAAAATTATCTAGCGGAAATAATTCAGAGTCCAGTTCACACAAACGATAACAAATTAATTTATTTCTTCCTTAACGTTTCAACAAACTGCCTTCACTGTCCACAGTCACGTTTACAAATGCTAAACCAATAAACTTACTTGTAGCACTTCACGGCTTAAACAAACAACAAAAAAGAACAGATTCATTCTACCGACGAGAAACAAACTCTTCTTAACTATCTCCTCGGCTATATTCTTGATCCTTTACTGACACTTTATTCTCCTCGGCTATATTCTTGATCCTTTACTGACACTTTATTTATGTCATCAAATCCTTTAGAATGTTCTTGGCGTACTTATTGTTAACGTCATCATTCTTACCTCCAGCTAAGAAACAAATTACAACATGAAAAATATAGCTTACAACACTGCTCCTGTCTTTGCTTGTGAAGTCCCTTGAGCAATCCTATAAATCCAACTAAATCTTGTTTTCTTGATGTTTCGTTAGCTCTATGTGTTGTTTTAGTTGTTGGTTTCCTATATTCTCTTCTTTAATAGCTAGATTCAAAACAATTACCTCTCTTTGGTATCTTTGATTGCAGTTCCTGGCAATATGCCCCTTAAAGTTATACTTAAAATAGTTCTGTTTAACTAGTTGTCTAACTAATTCTTATTTTTCACTAATATTCACGTAACTTCCAGATGACGCCGTTAGTAGTTCACCTGCAGCTTAAAAGAACTCAAATTCCATCGTCAACTGCAAATATTTCTTTAAAGACATCTTTAACCTGATCCTCATATCTTCGGCTGCTATAAATTTGTCACTTGCACGAATCCACCATTTCACGAGAGGCACCTAGCTAAGATAATAGGGCAATCCTTTCCAAATCTTCTGCAAGTCCAGCTAAGGTCTCTTCTTTCCTCCGTACCGTGTTACAGAACTTGGCTCTGAATGCTTCTTTCTAGTACAACACTACTAACCTGTTGATCAATGCAGCTACCAATGTTTTATAGCTGTTACAGCTCTCAGCTGGAAGGTTACATAATGTTGTCAAAGCTGGTCCTTTTGTTGTTCACTACTCCACCCGTTCACTATGGAAATGATTTCGAACTGAGCCTGGTATGACTCCCATGGTAGCTTTCCACCATAGTACATTGGTTTCATTATTGGCCAGTGAACCTGTTAGCTAAATCTTGAAATTGGATTTGGTAGTGTCATGGTTGGAGTGGTCCAAAACTTCCTTCATTAACAAGTGGCACAGCAGTAATGGTTATAAGTGTAGACCAGTTAAGCTATCATATACTATATATGGTAGTAGATTGTGTTTTTGGTTGGAACTCTTGAGCGGATACAGAAAGATACGTGGCTAGTTTAATCTTTCATTTTTTATATTCTGTCTCTAATTTCTTTTCTAACTCATTAATACTTTTCTTTACTTCAATTTTGCCATAGCTTTTCAATATTTCTTAAATCTTATTGTTGTAATTACCCTGTATATCTCCAATCCTCTCATAGATCTTGTCTTCAATCAGATTGATTTTTGATTTTTAAATAGTACGTCTCTTTATTTTTCTAATTCCTTTTATAACCTCTTGATCATCTTACAATGTCCTGTTAATTTCTTTTTGGTCATATTTCATTTTTCAAACCTCTTTCTTCTACTTTTTGGTTTCGTTGTTTCTGTTCCTCTTTTAATTGTTTATCTATTTCCTCTAATTTTCTGTCCAGTTCTTCTTTGTCTTCTTTAAATGCTCTGTCTTTTTCTGTTTGTTCTTTTTCTGTTGTTTGATCTTGTTTAGCAGGTTTTTTATCTCAGTTTGTGCCCTTATGGTCATGTTCTTCTTTCATATAGTTGAAGTTTAACCAAAGTTCTATTTTATTTATCCCAAAATAATCCCTACTTGTTACACCAGGGTTGTAATGTTGTTATTTGATGCCGGGTTTTCTTAAATTACCATGAGAAATAATCCAATGCTGTTTTCCATAAAAACGATAACAATTTAAGTTATTTCTTCCTAGCAGGGCCTGGTGGTTAGTGTACTGGTTTTGTAATCTACAGGTCTCGAGCTCCAATCCCGCCAACGAACATATTCATTTTTCAGATGTGGGAGTGTTATAATATGATGGGCAATCCTACTGCTTATTGTTAGTTGGGATGCACGATGTTGACTAAATGCTCTTCCCTTAGTCTATCACTTCAAAACTAGGGACGGCTAGCACAGCTATTCCTCAAGTAGCTTTACCCGAACTTTAGCAAACAATCATAAAACTTGTTTCTTAACGCTTTCTCTTTTTTTTCTTTTCACAAACTGCCTTCATTGTACACAGTTGTAGGGCACATTTACAAATTACGTTAACTGCACTACACTAGCGTAATGAATGAATTTACTTGTACCACTTCATGGCTGAAACAACCCTCCCCCGATAAAAACAAACATAAAACACTGACCAATTCACTCTTATAATGACTCTCGAATGTAATAGAAAGTCTGACGTCAAATTCCTTAAAATGTCCTATACCTATCCGACCTTAATATCATCATCATCATGACTCGCAGCTCCCTCTAGTTGACAAATAAATTGCATTAAATACATAGCTTACAAGATTTGACTGTTATTGATTTTTTGTATTTCAATATAGCTTCTCTGTGTCTCTACAGACAATATTTTAAATATTATTATTTACTTTTTTATTTCATACCAGTCTGACAAGTAAATCAGTGTTTCTAAACACATTATCTTTATAAAGATCTATTGTTAACGGCTTTTTATATTTCAGTCCAGTTTGACAAGTATCTTTATATTTGAACAGACATTATCGTTGTGTATTAATTTTATATATTTCAAACAATCTTGACAAGTACCAACGTGTTTCCACAGATATTTTACCTGTAAAGATCGATTGATATTGATTTTTTATATTTTGGACTAGTTTGACAAGTACCTTTATGTCTCTACAAACACTGTTTTCATGTATGTTTATCGTTATTTACTTTTATATTTCAGATTCTTTGGTAAGTACCTTAATCTCTCTCTCTTCAGACATTAACTTTATAGGTACATTGATACTGATGTTTTATTATTTCGGACTAGGTTGACAAGTACCTTAGTGTTAATAAAAGAATGGAATTATCAGCAGCTTTGAGTCTCACCGAGGTTCAGATAAAAACTTGGTTCCAGAACCGCAGGTAAGGAGAGGTAAAATAATAACCTTTTAGTTCACACCTAACTCCGTGAAACCTATATACTGAAACCTTTTAATTCACACACAACTCTGTGAAACCGATATACTGAAACCTTTTAATTCACACATAACTCCATGAAACCTATATACTGAAACATTTTAGTTCACACCTAACTCCGTGAAACCTATATACTGAAACCTTTTAATTCACACACAACTCCGTGAAACCTATATACTGAAACATTTTAATTCACACCTAACTCCGTGAAACCTATATACTGAAACCTTTTAATTCACACACAACTCCGTGAAACCGATATACTGAAAACCTTTCAGTTCACACCTAGCTTCGTGAAACCGATATACTGAAAACCTTTTAGTTCACACCTAACTCTGAAAGCGATGATATCCTTCTTCGTGTAGTTTTGTTATTACTACAAGAACACTGTTTTGGATTATTTCTGACAAAGTTAAGTGTTAGATAAATGTCCTTTTAGTTTCTGGTCATAAAATCCTGTAAACTTTATAAAAACACATTACTAATTCAATGAGAAAAATAATGTAATATCTTAAACAATTATAGATAAACAATTCAACAAAGAAAATGGAATAAAATAGTAGCTTATAAAGATTAAGTTAACATTAAATAATGAAATATAACAAATACAAGCAGCACTTAATTAAATAACGATAAACTGGAAAAATTCCTTCTATAATTTGTTTCTTGGCTCATTTCTTTTTGCATGAAACTTATTTTGTACTGGTGAATGAAACATATTTTTTTAGAGCCCGGCATGGCCAGGTGGTTAAGGAGCTCGACTCGCAGTCTACCAAACATGCTCGCTCTTTCAGGTGTGTGGGGCGTTATAATGTGACGGTCAATCCCACTATTCGTTGGTAAAAGAGTAGCCCAAGAGTTGGCGGTGGCTGGTGATGACTAGCTGCCTTTCCTCTGCTAAATTAGGGACGGCTAGCGCAGATAGCTCTCGTGCAGCTTTGCGCGAAATTCAAAACAAACAAACATATTTTTTTAAACATCGCTCACTTAAAAGGCCCGCAAAATATTGGCTCACTTCCAATTTAATTTCACCTTAAAACTTCAACTATGAAAGCTCGTTGTTATAATGTCAAAATCTTATCAATTTCTCTGTAAAAATCAATGATTAAAAATAACATGACTGTCCAGGTAATAATCATGTTACTTCCCATGTAAATGTCATATGAAGTTTTAAAACAGCTAATTGTGGGATAATAGTTATTTCTGTTTCGTCTCTAACAGTGGAATATGATTACTGTTAGAGACGAAACGTTCTACAGAAATAACTTTATTATCCCACACAAAGCTGTTTAAAATTTTATATCGCTCGTAAGATCATTATATTATTACCTCTGTAAATATGATATTATTGTTGTTGATAAACATATTATTACCTTTTAGAATATCATAGCATTGTCTATATGATAATTATTTTACTACTTATGTTAAAATCATATCACTGTTAAACAGGAGCTGTTTTACCATGTAGTTTTGTGTAGTTTAAAAAGTTCAATGTGCAATTGAAAACTGAATTTCATACAGTTGTATATCTGCATGTAAGTACCGAAGAACTGTAGAACCATAAACCTCTCTAAAATGTACGTCATTTATTTATAACAATGGACGCTACAATATAATGTAGATTTTAGCATCATTAGATAAAAGTTTCATAAACATCTGATATAACAAAGTATGTATGATCTTACTAACATTTTTATTATGCCCAAAAATCGACTTTTGCATCCCAAAACGCAAATCGACAAAATAAATACGTGCTCCCCCCCCCCAGTGGCATAGCGGCATGTCTGCGGACTTACAACGCTAAAAACTTGGTTTCGATACCCATGGTGGGCAGAACACAGATAGCCCACTGTGTAGCTTTGTGCTAAAGTACAAATAAACAAATACGTAAAATAATGCTCAGCACCCTCCGGGGAGCGTTACAATATGGAACAAATATGGTTTGTAGAGCTTTGCAAGTCCCTTCAAATAGCCCCTGCTGCTAAACTAATTATTATAATTGACAATTTTAGGCATTGTGTGGATATGGTTCAGAGATTTTATACAACATTTTGATATTTAAATAGAGTAGTCCGACAGGCTCTTTAATGTTACATTGACCAAATAAACAATTACATTTTTCTTCAGATCTATGAGCATTAAGTTCAAGTAATAATCAGACAGAATAAAGATGATGTTATTGTTTTCCGATTCAGGCTATCTTCACATCCTGAAAACCGCCCATATTCCTGTGTTTTGTAATTAAGGCTATCCTCACATCCTGAAAAAAAAAACAACAACAACACAAATTTCTGTTTTTTTTTAATTCAGTCTGCCCTCACATTCTGAAAACTCTCACATTTCTGTGTTTATAATTCAGTCTACCCTACATTCTGAAAACCCTCACATTCCTGTGTTTATAATTCACTCTATCCTTACATCTTGAAACTCTCCACCACACACATTCCTGTGTTTTATTATTCGGTCTATCCTCACATCCTGAAAACCCTCACATTCCTGTGTTTATAATTCACTCTATCCTTACATCTTGAAACTCTCCACCACACACATTCCTGTGTTTTATTATTCGGTCTATCCTCACATCCTGAAAACCCTCACATTCCTGTGTTTATAATTTACTCTATCCTTACATCTTGAAACTCTCCACCACACACACATTCCTGTGTTATATTATTCGGTCTATCCTCACATCTTGAAAACCCTCACATTCCTGGAAATTCTTATTGTTTCATACGTAATATTATTATAGTGATGCCAGGATTATAATTATTTTGTCATGAAATAGTTTGATTTTATTGGTCTATCCTTTAATTAGAAATGTCAAGATATATGTTCTCTTGTATCGATTTTCAAACTAGAACGAAATGGAAGAAACAGATGACCGCTCGTATGAAGGTGGCCCAACGACAAGGACTCTGGCCAGCACCGTTCTTAACAGCAAGTCACGCCTTTAGTCCTTTTCTGGGCTCCGCAGGTATAGGACCTCTACTGGCGTCGGACGAGCCTACTTCCGCCCTGGGTCTGGTCTGTGGAAGGGATTCTTCAGTGTCAGAACAGGGAAAAGAAAAGAATTAACTTAAGAAGAACAAGCGAAAGTGAACATACTCATGAATGTGTACATATATATATTAATGTATTATTGGGGCTTTCAACTTCTCAATGACTACTACAGATCAGACTTTCGAATAAAAATGGTAACGTTATCAAAACGTCAGACGATTTGATGTGAGCGATGGAAATCCTTGATTCTTATACTACAAACGTGTTTGTCAGTTAGCATTGATCAGTGTTGTAACAACACATCATTTGGTGTCGTTCAAACAATTTTATTCTATTGTGAAAGTAAAAGGTACTTTTCTAACCATCAAGAAATATTTGTATTGTTTGTCGGTGAATAGAAGCGACACCTTTATAATGTAGACAAATTCCAGAAGTGAAACTCTTTCTCTCATCGTGTTTGTCTTTCCCCGGATAAAGAACCGAGGTTTATAATATTAAAGTATACGTGAAAAAAAAAGGTTCTGAGTCCATGTAACTTTAATTATAAAGGAAACAAAAGTACTGTAGGTGGCTTTAGCTTTATTTTCTTTTTGTTTTGTGCTTCATTTTGTTATATATGAAACTGATTTTTATTAAATTAAGTCTAACGAAGTACTTTTTTAATAGCAATATATTTTAGGCTTAAGTTTCTTAAGTAAAATCCAAATACCATAAGGACAGAAAATATCATATCCTCTATATACGATACAATCAAACAACACTTCTGGAGATATATGTCGTGATTATATTTACATTTATAGAAATGTCTCGTAATAAATTCCAGATTGCGTTAAACAAAGTTAAGAATAATAATACTTAAATAGCTTAATTATTTTTTTATTTGTTTAAAACAAAAATCATGAAAAATATTCGCTAAAACCTACAACAATTTCAAGCATAAATGAAACTACAAACAAATCCTTTCTAGCTGGAGACAGCTTTACAAAACAAGGTGAAGAAAGTTTACAATACACAATAAAGACAGTTTACGATACAAGATGGTCAATTTGACTCATTATTACTTAAACTTTTATTGTCGTTTATATCTGAAATTATTTTTCGTTGATCGAAGATATTGGAAAGCTGGTCCTTTCAGTTATAGGTAAACCTGAACCAACCCAAATCTTAAACTCATATCTCTCTATGTTTTAATGTTTTAAATAACTTGCAATAATAACAGTGATTTTTACTTAATGACGAAGTCTATTTAGCTATTTAGATTTTGAGACGAGGTCAATTACATGAAGTTTGTTATACATACATATAATAGTACTGTTAACAAACTAAGTTTCTTTCATGTTAATGAACGTTAGCCCGCTTTATAAGAACTCGTTATAACTGAGTCTAAGAGTTTAGAACCTGTTTGTTATAGAAAAAAGATCTTTGTAATCTATGTATTACTGTTACTCAAAATTTTCTGGTTGTTAAATCTGATCGTGAATTAAATGTGATAAAAGGAAATTCTTATGTAAATCCTCTGGTCTAAATGTTAAAGACATATTTACAGAAATTATCCTTCTATACAAGAAATCGAAAGTTTATTTGTTCATCAAGAACTTCTGTGAATTTACATATCTTGATCTAGGTATTTTAAGACAAAGGTAAAAATAAAAAAGAAAAGAAATTCGTTACATTAAAAGCTTGAAGAGAAAATTTGCAAGGTTCTTTTCCCACGTTTTGTTTCTTAAGTTATGACATTTTGCTTGTGTGATAAATGGCTTAAACATATGTCAAAAAATATTAAACTGATTTGTAGAATCGATTAGTTATTCTATTGATGCATCACACTTCCCAAGTTCAATAAATTGTTCCTTTTTCTTCGTTTAGAGGTGAAATGCTGGATAACTAGCGACCATAAGGTAATAAGGGACACATGTCTGTCGATAATAGATGTCCCCACGTTTCTAGTGCCTCAAGAGTTACTTTGTATAAACAAAACTTCACAAGACGCGATGAAAAAAAACCTTTAACTAAAAATTTTTTTACATTGAAAATTTCCAGAATCTTTAAAGTATTTGTCTCCATCACCTAAAAAAAGTGTTTTTTTTAAATTATATACCGAATTTGTTGCCTAAAGAAATTTTATGCATAAGTTACACATAACTGTAAGGTAATTATTTTCATATTAATAGATAATCATTTGACATAAACATCAATGTGCAATAAGTATTAAAAAGCTGAGAAAATCAAATGGTTGTTACTTTGTAAACATCACACATACCATACTTAACTTCTATCTCATATAATTGTAAACAGAACGGTCTTATTTCAGTTCTAAATATAAGCTTTTTTTTAACTGGTTTTAATTCCAATATTGACTCACTTTAAAGCAGGTATAAATTAAAACAAAAACAGAGCATCATGCTGTCTATATTTAAGGAATGTTTTAAAACTGACAATTAATATTAAGTTATCATCGAAGCATAAAACTTAACTAAATATTAACGAAGTAATAAGTTTGGCTAATTCAGTGTAATGGCAACAGCTATTTCTGTAGTAAATCTCATAATAATACTAAATGTTTGTGGTAGACAGAACAATAATTATAATAATACTAGTTTTGATACAAATCGATCTCTATTTGCTTAATGTTATAAAGTTGACAAATACAATGTTTCTTGCGAACGTAGAAAATTCCTTTTATTTTTCGAATAAGACAAAATTGAGAATAATTATTACAGTTATTTGTTTGGAACACTAGAAATCTCCGTGTTGTATAACTAACGTAAATATAACAAGTTTTTCTTTCTATTTAACCTAGTTCAATAATTAAAAGGTGACGATGATATAGGAGGTGTTTTACAGTAGAACTGTAACGCCCCCGATGGACGTTACACAATAGTACACATCAACAACCCCCTAAACTATTACACAGTCTTTTATATACAGTTTAGATGCATGTATTTCTCATTCGGTTCTTTCTGGGTGGTCCATTTCATTAGACAATAACCAGTAGTGTTGTATTGACCATAAATGAGGCTGTTCTTACCATCAAAAAAATCTAAAACTGAACAACATTATGTTTTTCATTAGAGCAACCAAACAGTCCATCTGGTTGTTTTCTCTGGAATCTTCCAGGATTTTGGACTGAAGAGTAAACCTTGTAGACTAGACGTCCTTATGACAACCCTCTTCACCAGCGGCACGATGTCCATCTTCTTGTTCGTGAAAGACAATAGAATCGATAAATATAAATGTTCTTTAGTATCATATATTATGTTTAAAAGATTAAACTTTGTGTAAAATAAAACAGTCTTGCTTCCACTAGGTTTATCTGAACGTTTGACATCAAGAAAATATTTCACATTCGCTACAGAAAAGTTGTCACTTGTATATCAAAATTTAGTTGCTGAAACAACATGCTCAGGAAAATGTTTCCCGTTATACAACCTTCCGTTTCTTGATCAGTAGTCCTTACCCTAAAATGAGAAGACACATATTCTCTTGGTTATAATCAAACTTCTTGCAAAGTCTCGGGTTCTCACACTGCCTGTAATTTAAACAGACTTTCGTTATTTGTGAACATGATTAAGAAGTTTTACGTTATTAGTAATACCAGTGAATTTTGCTCTTCATTTTCCATTTGTTCTAATATGAGTATGTGCTGGCATCTAATGGAGTTATTTCGAACTATTTAAATCTAATAAATTTGCATTCGGTGTTTTTTGAGACCTTCTTTCTCCATGACACTAAAATTTGATTTCCCTTAGATTATTTTCCATATTTTTTGTAATTATTAAATTATAACACACAAGAGTGATAAATTACTTTGTGTATAGATATAATTCTAATATTTTTTGTATGTTTTATGTTGTCAGTGACATGCATTCTTGTAAAAAAAACACTAACTAATATGAACCCAGAACAGTGCCCTATGTTTGATTCTATATATATATCACAAATATTTGTACTAAATTTAGTTTTTATTCTAGACAAATATTATACTAATTAATTAATACGTTAAAATACTCTACTGTTTGTGTTTCTCTCCTTAGTCTCTTTGAACCTGCAGAATTAACACAATAAGTGCTATGGAGCAGTGCTTGTTGCGCATTTGTCAAAAAGTAATGAACGTGTTACACTCGATCAGTTTATGTAAACCAATCTATCTCTTTCTCTTTGAAAATCTCATCTTAAGATTAAGATAAAGAAGGAATATAATTCCTCTTGCCAGGTAAAATCTACCGATAATGGCACTGCAATTAGATTTTGTAGTGTTAATAGCTGTGTATGTGTATATATTAGTTTACCCGATTGAAATAACGTATGTGTATATATTAGTCTACGTGCTTGGAATAATGTATGTGTATATATTAGTCTACATACACATACATTATTTCAAGCACGTAGACTAATATATACACATACATTATTTCAAGCACAAGCACGTAGACTAATATAAAATAATGTATGTGTATATGCATTCATATTCTCGAATTTCTCCTATGTTAACGGATTTTCTTTTAATGTGAGTATTTACTTTAATTCTTCATCTGCTATCGGTTTCAGACGCAATGCAATTGCTAAGCCAAATAACTATAATTATTGTCTACTTGGGATCAACACAAATATCGGGTTTATAATATTTAAGATCAACTGACGTTGAAAACGTTTTCATTCTATTTTGTTATCGAAATTCATTAAACAGTCAGAATGCCTATATTTTACGTTTCTACTCAATAATCTGTTATTCTATAAGTTTATTGAGATCTGCCTGATTCAAAGTGTTTTTTTTTCACAAGAAAGAACAAGCTTCAATATTTCCAAAATAATGTCGAAATCAGATTCAAATATGTCATAACAATAACATTTTAATCGCATTTTTAGGTTTAAAATATCATAAAATTTTATATGCTATTCGATTCCAAGTTTCAAGAGAATACAAATAAATATATCATGAAGATTATATTTTCACAACATCCAATAAACTTATTTAAATATTAACAAAAGTTGCCTATTGTAACAAGGTCCAATTTTCTCAGTTAGGGATGTATGAAAGTATCCTAGAAGAATAACGTCCACAATCCTGCGAGGAAACGAACGCAAACCTTTTTCAGTTAGGTTTAGTTAAAAACCTTCTCTTCCAACCAGGTTTAGTGCCATATTATCTGAAGATTAAACCAAATTTCCTATTACAACTACATCCAAGTATTATCAGTTAAAGATTAACTAAAATATTTTTGTCAAATATCTTCAGTTAAATTAAAAGGCCTTTTAACAATACCATAAAATATTCTATCTAAAATTTGCAAAATTTCGAGAACATGCAGCAATGTTTAGAGTTACGGATATAGAACGGATCTCCTAAAACTCTGTATAGCTCAATGACAAGTAATAAATCGAACGATGCATTGGGATTCACATTAACTTCTCCTTCTATTAAAACTTATATTTTACTATTTGTAAGATATCCTGATTCAAGCAGATCTCTAAATAATTCTCATTGAAAGAAATATCACTTCAAATCCGATAACCATTATTAAAGATCGCTTCAGTTAATGAAAACATTTATTGTTATTTAATAGGTGTAGTAATTTCTTATGCAAACATGCAGAGGTAAGTTGAACACATTTGATTTATAGATTCAAACTGATTTTGTCGAAATTAACATATATATATATTAAAGGGCTTTGTTTAACAATCCCTATATGTTGCTAGCTGTACAAAACATGGTACATAATTCAATCTCATAAAATTACTTTTCTGTCATTTGAAAAAAAGAAAAAAATTGATGAGTATTCTTTTTAAGATTTAAGAAACTGTTAATACTTTTTACATTACAGTAGATTGCATACAGATTTGAATAGTACCTGTGGATTATGTACAGATTACCTGTGGATTATATACACATTACGATTGGGTTATAAACCGGCAATATTCCTTAAGAAGTTCTATACGTCATCATGTGAACAAAGACAGAAATTGAATTCATTAAAATGCTGATTCAAAATACGTAGTTAAAAATTTATAGATGGTACTGTTTAGAAGAAAACTGGAAGTGTTAATTACAAACATTTATTTCGTGTTGGTTTCCTAGTTGAAATATGAATTCTTAATGAAATACGGTATCTAAAAAATTCTTTTAAAAACGACTTCACATTCTACGGTTTTTCCAACTATGTTACATTCCAAAAAACAGAGTAATTAAGTATTCCGTTTTTAACATATGTGAGATGTAGCCAGCCCTCCTGTGGAGTTAACCGTATGTAGAGATTTGTTACGCTATTATGATTATTAGTTGAATATTACCATTATCAGAACATGTGGGACGTAGTCAGACCTTCTGTTATAATTTACGCATTGTAAAGTCATGCCACATTACACCTGTTTACTATATATTAGTCTCTACCAGTATGATAAAACTTCCCACTGCACCTGTGTATTATTTATTAATCTCTAGCAGTATGATAGAACTTTCCACTGCACCTGTATACTACTTATTAATCTCTAATAGTGTCATAGAACGTTCCACTACACCTCTTTACTACTTATTAGTCTCTAACAATAGGATAGAACTTCCCACTACACCTGTTTACTATTTATTAGTCTCTAGCAGTGTGATAGACCTTCCCAATACACCTGTTTACTATTTATTAATTTTTAGCAGTATGATGGAACCTCCCACTGCACCTGTTTACTACTTACTAATCTCTAACAGTATGATAGAACTTCCCACTACATCTGTTTACTAATTATGTTTCTCTCGCAGGATTATAGAAGTTTCCAATACACCTGTTTACTGATTATTGGTATTTGGCAATATGATAGAATTTCCGACTGCACCTGTATATTATTTATTAATCTCTAGCAGTATGATAGAGCTTTCCACTACAACTGTTTACTATCTATTAATCTCTAAAAATAGGATAGAACTTCTCATTACACATGTTTACTATTTATTATCCTCTAGCAATATGGTAGAACTTCCTACTACATCTGTTTACTATTTATTAATCTCTAGCAGTATGATAAAACTTCCTACTTTACCTATTTACTGATTATTAGTCTCTAGCAAAATGATAGAACTTCCCACTGCACCCGTGTACTATTTATTAGTCTCTAGCAGTATGATAAAACTTCCTACTACACCTATTTACAAGCTATTAATCTCTAGAAGTATGACAGAACCTCCCACTACACTTGTTTACTATTTATTGGTTTCTAGCAGTACGATGGAACCTCTTACTACCCCTGTTTACTATTTATTAATCTCTAACAATATGATAGAACTTCATACTACACCTGTTGACTAATTATCAGTCTCTAGCAGTATAATAGAAACTCCCATTACACATGTTTACAATATTTTAATCTCTAGCAATAAGATGGAACTTCGCACTACACATACATGTTTTTTTGTGTAGTGTATCGCTCTTTTACAAACCCGGGCTTTGTCTTCTGGTTGAACAATTTCAGAGAAAAGTGACAATTGAAATGCCATGCTATTGTGTTTATCTTGGGTGAGGCTTATTTTTAATGTCAGTAATGTGATGAGTGGACTTGCTTGTTATAATAAAACATTAAACACAAAATGCTGATTTGTCCTAAATTAGGTTTATTTCGTAGATACGTATATTTAGTCAGAAGAATTAAGGTAGAACATGTACAGTTATTGAAAGACAGTTTTATCACAATTATATCCTCACAAAAGAGTTCTGCCATTTAATTTACAAAGGAAAAAGATAAAAAATAGAAATGTAAAGCTGAGAAAGTCTTTAAGGTACAAAATATTGAACTCCTTGAAGTGCTGTCAGTTTCACTATGATGTTTTGTTGAAAGTTGCAGTCTCTTTTCCGTTACACACTGAGAGTTATAAAATTTGCATATGATCTGCATGAAATTGACATTAAAGACGGGACAGAACATGAAACTGTTGTTCTTTTTATATTAACGAAAGAACTTCGCAGAACAGTCTGGATGTAACAAGAGGGAATCCTCAATAGCCGCGGTACTTGAAATTCTTTTATGCAGGATTAGAGTAAATTAACCTTTGAGATCCCCCCCTTTATTAGCTATATTTTTATACACCAGCAATACCAAGCGCAGGGCGTGCATATACCCGATTCGATTTAATTACTCATCATGATCTCTACTAGCCTACCCTCAAATTTAAATTCTTTTATGCAGGATTAGAGCAAATTAATCTATGAGACCTTGGGCGTGGTAAGATATATTAATCGAAAGGGTTTGATCGCCTGAGTCCAAAACTGTAATTAGATCTCAAATCGGTCAAGATATAATGGAGCTATGAGCTAAAAGTTTGTACTTGAAAAACTCAGAGCCATTCTATGAGCCGCTATGGCGCGGTTAAAAATATGATATGTCGTTTTATTTATCAAAATACACAGATATAGTGTAAACATAATATACTATAAATACAACAAGACAATTAGGAATACTAATAATAAAAATGTGTTGATATTATATAACAGTGCAAATGTTGACACGAACAACATAAAATTATTTATGCGATTTAAAAATTCAACTGTTGACACTAATAATATAAAATTATTTACGTGACTTAACAATCCAAATGTTGATATTAATAATATAGAATCTCTTAGGTGATTGAATCATGGAAATGCAGACATTAATAATATAAAGTTCATTACCTGATTTAACAGTGCAAATGTCGATAAAAGAATTATTTAATTAACAACGCAATTATCAATGTACAAAATGTTAGCTTTATAAAGATTAGTACAACTGTGATTATATTTACATTAGCGATGCTCAGTTTACCTCTCAACAGTACAGAACTCCTCAGTCTTACTTAGTTTGCTTGGAATAGTTTATAGAAAATATCTGTTAGTATTTACTGCTTAAATAAGCTACAATAATATATTATTTAATGTCTTTAGTTGAGAAGAGACACCAAACAAATGTATGACGCTCAGAAAAATAGTACTAGAGAATCTGAGGTACTTCTGAAGTGAACAATACAACAAAGCTTGAGTTATTTCTGAGTGGACAATATAAGATAAATTAATTATTTCTGAGTAAAGAGCATAAGAATTATTACTGGATAAAACGTTCTAGAGAACTTGAGTTACTAATATTACTAAAGAATGTTTTTTTTAGTTTAATAATTTAATTTCAAAAGCCATTTAACATGTTCTGCACATTTCTGCATTGAAGGATAGTCTAAGAAAGCTTTATCCCAAAATTTCAAAAAGTGATATTATTAGTCTATGGCCGAAGTATGCTACTAATATCAACATGAACTTTGACCTTTTCTTGTAGGTCTCATTCTTCAAAGCTATAATTGTTAAGTAAGTTCCCAATTTTCTTCTTCAGCAGTTTGGACAACCGCGTAGTTTATGAAATACCCAAACGCAAAAATGAAAAACAAGACTGGAAATAAAAGTTTGGATACTTTATCAATCTTTACAGCTAAGACTGGATACGAATTCAGACTTTTTGATATCCTAAGACAAGTAAACCTAGATTTTGTACTAGAAATCTCTTTATCTTGTTCAGAAACTCCGTCGGTAGAGGATGGGGAAATCATTTCCATTTCAGAGCTCCTTGCTTGAGGTTCAATCTTATCACTTTTCCCCTAGAAAGTAACATAGTAACAAACTGTTTAAATTATTTAACAACGTTTTTATAACTACACTAATTTACAAAAGGTATTCTATATATTTTTTAGAATGTTATTAAGTACAAAGGAGTCTTTGAAATTCTAAATACCCGATTTGAACACGTCTTTATGATCTGAGTGTGTGAGTATCTTATGTCGGAAACAGCTGTTACAAACCCTTCTCGAAAACAAACAGTTTTAGTTAACATCAGTCTACCTATCAAACACCAAACAACGTGAAAATGTAGTTCTTATACATGGCATTCCATCACGTCTTTATACTGGCTGTAGTTATCACTTGACTTGCTGATCTTCCTTACTGCATCTCTTTATTGAGGTTTCTCTTCTACTGCTAGTGGTGTTCTTCAGCCTTTCTCTGGTCTACTTTATATCTTAGTATAGTCTCGCTTGAGTGTAAGTTGATGTAAAAAGATTTTTTTATTTTTCTGATTTTACACTATATCCGTATCCAGAATTTCATGTTGGTTCCTATTTATTATATGGTTTGTTTTACAGTTATGTTCTGACAATATTGTTTTTCCCTGTATTTCTCCAATGTATGTACTTTCGCACGAGCAAGGTCGAACCAAAGAACAAAGACTAAACAAAAATATGGACGCAAATAAACTGACAATCCGGAAAAAGTCATCTCATTACAGTGATAAAAACCCGTTCGAATCAGTGTTATTTTTATCCACTGGTACAGATTACCGTACAACAAGGAAATTGTTTGGTTGTAGTTCAAGGTTTTATTAACCACAAAATAATTTCGGGCTCAGTTATTTCATAAAATAAAGTTAAAGGTTATTTATAACAACTGAATACTGATATGTATTTTTAGATAAGTAAAATAAAGTTAAACATTATTTGTAATAACAAACATCTGATAAGTATTAATATATATAAGGTAATAGATTAGGACTCACCCGCCTACGATAGCGATCCTGAGAAGGGCATTTCCCCAAAGAGTCTTGCGTTGTGTTATAGAGAGGGCTTTCCTTATTTCTATACAGGTAATTCACTGCAATAAACTCTAGTAATGAAGCATAGATGAAAAACATGCAGATCCCATCCCACAGGTTCATGGCAGTAAGATCTGACACTACAGGAAGTGTTGACCGGAAGCTATTGGTCGTGGTACAGAAGTTTAACATAGCGGTGACACCAATCATCACACGTGCTGGTACAGCGTTTATATCAAGCCAGAAACTAAGGAAAGAACTGGTTACCAGAAGAGTTCCAGGAACGTAAACAGCCGTGTAATAGTAGGATTTATCTCTGGTGAAGACTAGAAGTACAGTTAGACAACTGTAGTTACCTGGAAAAATAGAAATTTATTTATAACACAACTAATGGTATCAAATAAATATTTTCAAACATAGCAAACATGAGAAGTTAAATTATGGTTAAGGGGTATTATAAGTGTACATAATTGTGAATGGAAAGCTATCGCCGGCTCTATTAGTGATAAAATACACGAAAGAATGCAAGCAAGTGTAAATGAGTTTCGAAGTACCCCTAGCAACTCCTAATCATTCGTTTGGCGTTAAATTGTAAGAATGTTTGGTTAGAAACATTAATTAAAAGTTTATTCTGTACACAGCCAGAGTGTAGTGGTAGTTAACAGTTAATAAAAAGTAGTCCCTACATGAAATTATAATTAGTAGTAGTTAACATTTAATAAAAAGTAGTCCCTACCTGAAACTATAATTAGTAGTAGTTGACAGTTAACAAACATAAGTCTCTATCTGTAATTACAAGTTATTAATAGTTGGCAACAAACAATAGTCTCTATCGGTAATTACAAGTTTACAAGTTAGTATTAGTTGACAGTCAACAAACAATAGTCTCTATCGGTAATTACAAGTTTACAAGTTAGTATTAGTTGACAGTCAACAAACAATAGTCTCTATCGGTAATTACAAGTTTACAAGTTAGTATTAGTTGACAGTCAACAAACAATAATCCCTATCTGTAATTACAAGTTAGTATTAGTTGACAGTCAACAAACAATATACCTCTTACCTCGCCATGTGTGTCTTTCATCACATAACCCGGTTTCATTTTTTACTAGGTAAGCATTATGTTTCCTCAATGAAGTAGCATCCTGAAGACCTGGGGTCAAGGTCGACCACTCAAACTGTACTTCAGAATTCTCGTGGGAAACTGGAACATAACAGAAATATTAACTCGAAACACTATATATATATATATATATATATATAATATATTATCTATTAACCTATAA